CTGTTTCCCTGAATTAGCCTGCCCTCTGTGTCCTTTGCACTGACCTTCCACCTGCTGGGGAGAAGGGCTACGGACGGGATCCTGGCTTCTCAGTGACGTGTGCTTTACTGGGACCGGAGCCGCCAGGGCAGGCAGAGATGGGTGACGTCAGGGTACCGGCTCTGATTCTCACTCGGGACTGTCAGGGGACCACATAGGGTCTAGTCCCAACTCATAAAGAGGCCGTGTCCCCAGGCAGGCTGTAGTTGGCCCCCCTGCAGCATATCTGTGTTATGGGTCCCACTCATCTCTCTTGTGAGGATTAATTCATCCTCTGGGAACCAGGGGAAGCTTCCAGACAGGGCCTCCCCAAGGAGTGTTCCAAAGTGCCAGGTAGGTGCTCCCCTCTGAACACCAGCAAGGCCCCTTTCTTTGGGCACTTATCCCATTCTGTCCTGCACTGTGGCTACTCGTGTCCTTAATTTATTTCACCGGCCCAAAGAAGTGCTAAACACACTGGGCCGCCAGCTCCTGCAGGCGGGTTTCGGGTTTCAGGGTCCGTGCTAGGCCCTCGGGGACCTGCGCCTGCTTTACCCCTGCAGCCCTGCCCTGGGCAGCGTGTCTGCGGTTCTCTGAGCTCCGCCTGTGCGTGCAAACGGGGGTCCCTCTACCTGGATGCTCCCCTCACCCACTCACAGCCCCCCGTTTGTCCCTTCAGGCAGAAGTTAGCATGACTGAAGAATTTTCAGAATGTAAGACGCTGTGACCACATGGACTGACTGTGGCCGCTCCCACCGTTGGGTGACTGGGTGGTGATGTGACAGCAACAGGAGTCCCTCAGCCTGTCCACGTCAAGCAGAGCAGGGTCCTCACTGCCCCGGATTTGTTACTTGGTGGCCAGCTGTTTTCCCTTACAATTCGGAACACACACCCCGCGGCTTGTTCCTAAGGCCCCCAGAAAGCCGTGGGAGGAAAGTGATTACAGGAACTTCAGCTGTTTTGCGCGCTCTGAATGGTCCTCTTTCATCAGGATACACAGGGACAAGGGCCTTTTTAAACCCAAATATCAGGGGAAGACCAGAGTCCCACAAGAGCCATCTGCCCCCTGGGCGGGAACGTCATCGGACTCCCGGCCCCTTCCTTCCCGAGGGAGCACGAGGCAGGGCCTGGGGGCAGTCGGAGATGTGAACCGGGCTGTCATGAACCTTTTTTATTTCACTGACTTCTGCGTCTCCCTTCGGCCGGCTCCCACCTTCCGCTCTTCTGAGGTCTCCAGCCCAAATCAGTACGTACCACCGCCTGCTCTCTTTTTTCCTGCCACGGATCAGTTTCGGGGCTGTTCGTGCTCTGAGGGCTGGGGTTTTCCAAGAAGCACTGTTTGAGGCTTTTGTCTGTCCTTAGTGCCTTGTCGGAAACGAATCCTGCGTTGTCTCCTCAAACAGGCAGTTAGTTACCAGTGTTTGAGAACGTATTTATTTGTACTGTGGAGATAAAAGCATTGTGGGGGGCCGGGTAGGGAGGGCCGAGGCTGAACTTGTTTTTACTCTCCCATCAAGATCTGTCTTAAAGTGATGGCGAACACTCAGTTTTGTTTGTCACAGTCTGGCCTCTCTGGAACTTCAGGTATACTTTCTAGGACACCAGCATTTTGGGGGAGAGGGCTGGTTTTTCTGTGGTCGCAATGGTGTTTTGTGGGCCTGTACTTCCTCACCCCAAGAACCCACTAAAGCGGGTGTGCCATCCCCAAAAGGAATTATTTTCACTTTTTTTTTTGAGAGAGGGGGTGGGGGAGGGGCAGAGGGAGAGGGGGACAGAGGATTCGAAGCGGGCCCTGCCCTGACAGCAGCGAGCCAGATCTGGGGCTCAAACTCACAAACCGTGAGATCATGACCTGAGCTGAAGTCGGACGCTCAACCGACTGAGCCACCCAGGCGCCCCTCTAAAGTGAATTTCTTTTTTTTTTAAGTTAATTTTTTATTTATTTTTGAGAAAGAGAGAGCAAGCAAGGGAGGGGCAGAGAGAGAGACAGAATCCCAAGCAGGCTCTGCACTGTCAGCGCACAGCTGGATGTGGGGCTCTAACTCACGAACCATGAAATACCTAAAACCAAGAGCCACCCAGGTCCCCCTCCACGATGAATTTCTTAATGGACATCCCCAGTGCTGTTCCATTAGGCTCACGAATCGCTTCTCGGTATTAGAAGCCTGGCACAGAAGCCTGGCACAGACCCCACGGAGCCCTGGCAGCGGGAAATCATGTTCCCATCAGCCACCCAGAGGGCGCATGAGGCTCAGGGCCTGCAGTGAGCTCAGAGCAAAAGACAGGAAACAGAGTCACAAGAAAGATCTGCATTTTGTTTCATAAATCCTGTGGCTGCCCACGCTCTACAGCCTCTTGGCCCCAAAGTCATTGCATGTGGTCACCCTCATGCCGTGTCTGCTTACTGTCCCCCAGATGCAGGGCAGCCGGCTCACAGGCCCCGGAGAGAGAATGTGCTTTGTGGGCTTCCCGCAGCTTTCAGTCTTGCTCTTTACAGTAGACGCCAGCACCTGATTGCCCGAGGACAGAGGCAGTGTTCCGAGGGCCCCCATCGCACAGGCCCCTGACTTCATATATAGATGGGAGGCTGATTCTTTCTGTCACAGGAACACTGAGGGACCACCGGCCTTGTAAGCAGTGACGATCACAGGGTAAAACCAGCCTGTTCTTTTGCATTGTTCCCCCCTTTTTTTTTCCCCAAAGGAAATGTAAGGGAAGCCAAGGGGAATTTTTGCCCATGATTTCCAAGGCAAAGATCACTATTAATGGCTGGCTCTTTCCAGTGTTCAGGCTTCTGGTCAGTATGGATATTTTTTCTTCCCCCCTCCCCCTCTTTTTTTTTTAACTGATGAACAAAAAGTGGTTGATGTTGCTTTGCTTTGTGAAGATTTTGCCTGGCTCCTTCTGTGAACCGATGGTGGGTTTGTAAGTTTCGTGGGCAGCCCTTTAAAATTTTGATGAGGATAAGTAGTAAGTGATCTGCATCGAAACAGAATAGTTCTGAAAATAAAGTTGGAACATTTTCAAGAAGGAGAGAGTGACAAGTTTTAGGGGTAGGGGAGTGTTGGGCCCTTCCACAACCTGCTAAAATAAGAGCTTGGGTTTTAAATTGGCCAGACGGGCACTGAAGAGCTTGTTGTCTCCGTCGGTGAAACTGAACTAAGGAAAGGATGCTCCTTATTTCATTCAGTTTTTTTTTTTTTTTTTTTTTTTTTAAGATTTTATTTTTGAATAATCTCTTTGCCCAACCTGGGGTTTGAATTTACAACCCAAGATCAAGAGTCACGTGCTCTACCGACAGAGTCAGCCAGGCGCCCCCTTCTTTCAGTATTTATAGTCCCAGGCTCCCCAACCCTTGACACTGGCAGCACAGACATACAGCTGATAGAGCGGAAAGAGTGGCTTGTAAGCGGAGAGAAGTTATGCGGGTGTAAAGGAGCGGGATTATGAAATCTACAAAGCCAGGTGTCAGTGACTCCGAGGGCGCACTCAGCCTTATTGCTTTGATCAGTCGCTGTTTTTAGCGTGAGAATTCAACCAGCAAGAGTCACAGATTTCATTGTGGACTTCGTATTATGGAAGATCACGGGCTTTCTGGTTCCAGGAGCCGCTGAGTTCCATGTGGTGAGTTTTTGTAGCACCTGGTATATTAGACCTAGCTGAGCTTTTTATTCCAGCCTTTAGAACATTTAACTACTCTTGGGAGACGTCTGGGGTGAAGGTGATCTTGGTTTTGTTTTTTTTTCTGTTTACAGAAAACGTCCCCGTATTTCGATCAGTAATCGATTTGCTTTCTGTTAACACACACACACACACACACAGTGCTACTTTTTCTTAGAGACTTTCCTTTTAAATCATTTATATGTTAATTGGTTGCTAAAGAGAGAATCAATGATTTTTTGCAGTTCCCTAAACTGTGAACCGTGATCCTTCACAAAACTAATAGAGATAAAATGCTTTTTTATTATAATGGGTGTGGTACAGATCTTCTACTACTCTGAAAATCAAATAAAAAAGAATCACTTAAAAAAGTTAATATTTGCTCAGTACAAAAAATTCAGAAGATACTAAAAACTAAAAAGAAGATAATCCTAGGTGATCCACCCTCCACACACACACACACACACACACACACACCCCGCCCCACGAAAACCACTGTTAATAATTTTGGTGTATTTTATGGATAATTTTCAGCATTAATGATATTTTTGAATAATTGGTAGTAACTAGTAGTTCATACAGTCTAAAGATTTTTTTCTGAGAGTCGCCAACAGTCTAAAGATTTTTTTCTGATAGCTGCCAAATCACAAAGATGAAATTTTTAAAATTTAAATTGTAACTTTTTGAGTTGTGTGTTGAATGTAAACGTTATTGCTGGTTAAATAACAAAGACCAAAGATCCTTTCTGCTGAGAGATTCTTTGTGTCAACTGGAAGTTTTCTATAGCAGTAGGGACACAGTCCCCTTGACTAAGTTAAATCACAGGTCATTAAGCCACCCACTTGCAAACCAGCGGTGAAAGTATAATTTCCTCTTCTTTATATTCCATGAAGGGAAGGCACCAAGACCAGTCAAGCTGTCTTAAGTCAGGGAGTTAGAAACAAAGATTGCACAGAACATGGTGAAAAATTCACAGAGGGACTCATCGCCCCCACCTCCGTCAGAGAGCTGGTCTCTATTTTTAGAAGACTTGGTGCTATGGGGAGATCGTTCGCAGTACCCCACAGGAAGGGAGCTCTCGGCCTTGCAAGAGCCCGGAGAACCTTGCAGCAGAAGCGTGATCTCCTCACACAGAGTCTCAGCAGCAGGCCTGTGGCAGAGGTTGGGGAGAGTGCCGTGTGACATGGTCAGACAAGCTGTGACGTCCCCATTGCATCTTATGCACCGTCTGTCCACGCTACAGCGTTTCCTCTGCTGCATGTCTTTGCCCATTTTCCTCTCTGAATCCCAGCCTGACTGTGCTCTGGTTTTATTCTTCCCAGCTTAAGTGAGAGCTTTTTCATGGTGAAAGGAGCGGCCCTCTTCTTACAACAGGGAAACAGCCCTCAAAGCCAGCGAAGTCTTCAGCATCCCCACAAGCATGCAGGTAAATTGAGGTTCTCACATTGGAACTTACTTTCCGTGCAGTGGAGGAACCCTCCATGACTGGTGGTGAGCAGTTGGCTGGCTTTCAAGGCCAGAGAAACAGCAGAACGTGGCCTGGTGCGAGGGAGAAGCCCTTTTCCTGAGCAGGCAGGCCAGGCGGGTCCTCCAGGTGGGCCCGGCAGCCAGTGACCCTTCGACCATGCGTGTCCACGGAAGCAGTAAGGCAGTCGGCAGCGTTCCGTCCGGGTGCAGATTCCCCACTCCCGGTTTATCAGTTAACTACAGATTTCAAGTTGCCATAGGATTTTCTTTAACAAGGGCACCAGAGCCTGTGGCAGCCAGATGTTGTCCCCTTGGAGATAACCGCCTTGGGATGCTGTGTGCCTCCTTGAAGGACACTGCTCCTGTCCCCGAGTCTGGACAGCTTTCATTTGGAGGACTTCTCGGCGAGTCTTTGTCAAACGTTGGGGGCGGGGGGAGGCAGGAGAAGACTATTACTGAACAGTGGCTTTGGTTTTTGGACGTAGACAGGAAGTGATAAAGTGGGGCTCAAACCCGGCATCCATTTAGGTGCAAGAGCACATGAAAAAGAAATGCTTATGTAGCCATAGGACCAGGTTTCATAGGTGATTTAACTCTGAAACCGAAGGCAGTTTGAAAAGAGGAGTCAGAAACCATTGGGTACAAGCAGATCTTTGTAACAGGTCCGGCGCCTCTGCGGGCGCTTCTGGACAGGCGGCGCACACCTCCGTGCTACCTGCAGAGGCCTGGGACTCTCGGAACACCAGCAGGGGACAGCAGCTGCGGCCCTTTTTCTTGACACTGTGATCGCTCTGTCTCCGACCTTGAGTCCTCCAGCCTCATTTTGGATCCGAGTGCCTGTGTTCAAATTTCATGTCTTAACAGCAAACAGCAAGCAAGGCTCAGTCAGTATTTTCCTCGTACGAATACGTGGACTCAAGATTTGGCTCTGATTTAATCTCAGAAGATAGTCTGAGATCTGCACAAGGAGGCAGTGTGTTTGGGGGCAAGAATGCGTGTCTTGGAGCCAGACAGTCATGGCTTCTGATCCCAGTTGTACAACTTACTGAGCAGTCACGGTTGACTTCTGAGCCTCAGTTGCCTGATCTTTACAACGGGCCCCAAGTACTGGTAACTCAGACAGGATGGAATGTAAGATGTATGGGCGCCCTGTGTCTGGTAGCTGTGATTGTCACAACAGTGGTAGCGAGGACAGTAACACTACAAACAGAACCTTCTTTCTTGAACCTGTTCATAGTTCTGCCCTGTCAGGAACGTAACCGTTGTTCGTGTCTTAACACAGAGCGGGAGTTCACCCTTCCCATAAAACGTCCCCACCCTCTGATTCAGTGTTTTCACACTCTGCGTGAGCTCGGGGAAGGAAGTGCAAAGCCACGTAACAGTCAGGCTGGTTCATGCATCTCTGGAAGGTCCAGGAGAGTAGAAAGAAGGCCACAGGCTTTGTGGCTCTTCTGCCCCTGACGTCTGGAATGACCGATGAACTCAATGAGCTCAGGAAGGCAGAGAGAGGGACTGCGACTGTCTCAGTAAGTGAACCTAGGGCAGGCACAGGCTGGACTGGACGTCAATTCCTGTTTTTCTAGAATTACTGTGTAGTGCCGTGGATGAGCCACAGTCCCATCCATAATCACGCAGAGCAGAGCACATGTCATGCTTAATTCTGCCCGTGCAAAGGTCGTCCGGGTTGTTGTAGCCGGTCCTCAGTGTGAGACTCTTGCTCGAGGCCTGTACTTGAGGCTTATGTTCTCCGATCTTTTCGCAAGTGCTGAGTGAACACTTCCAACATACAGAGACAGTGTGTGGAAGGCGGCCTGCGGCTGGCAGTTCTGTCGGTCAGCAGTTCCACAGGCCGCTCCCACTGAAAGGAGCCTGTCTGTGTGAAAATGTCCCTTTCATTTAGGCACGCGTCAGACAAAGGGGCTTGTTTTTGCGTTCCTCTGTGTGCCTCCATGACTCGGGGTGGGGGGTGGGGGTGTGCAGGCGAGCCCAGAACCAACGGGTGGTTTTGGGGCGTTGGGGCCACACCAGGCGAGGGTGCTGTTGTAGAGGGAGGGGGATGGGGACGGGGAGCTCCTTCTCCTCCTTTCATGTGACCTGTCACCTGCCAGTCATCCCTTATGGAAAGCAGTGCCGGTGTGGGGTGCAGTCCTGTAAGGGGGAGAGCAGACGAGGTGGGCAAGCTTCTGACGACCGGAGTCCTCTCTGGGGCAGGACATACAAGTCGCATATCACCTGCCCTAAAATGTAAAAGATGGTTCTGCAGGAGAAATGAACCCAGTGTATGCATCCTTCTCGGATTCTGGCTGTGACCTGTAGGTTCATTTCTTTTTAAAGATAACTGTTTCTTCAGGATGTTGCACAAATCAGAATTAATACAGATCTACCTCACTCGTCCAGCATCTTTGCAGATGAACCTTTCCTTCCGAAAGAAATGGTAACAGAAATGTACAAGCCAGGAAGAAGGCTATGTCAGATCCCCACTTGCTGCTTCCTGATTAGGAACCTCAGTTAGGGGCCCCGTGCCTGGAACACACAGCTTCTTTGCAGCTGCATTGATCCTCCGTCTGTGCAGACTCACCGTCTCTGAGGAGCTTTGGTCCCTCCACTCCAGCTCAGAGGCACCTCCTGGACCTGGGGCTGCCCAGAGAAGCTAGAAGCTCTGGATGACTGCCTTTATAAAGTAGTACGGCTTTATTGAATTCAGTTGTAGAGTGAGAGATGTTTGTATAAACTGTTGTGAAAATGGGTGACAGCCTCAGGCCATGGGCAGCCACCAGTAGCCTCCATAACATTTTATGATCTCTGGAGTTGCTTGGGTAATCATCAGTGAGCCAGTGGGCAGAAATAATGATGAGCGTAATGATCAGAAGGAGGCCCGAGACTAGGGCCCAGATGTGCAGGCACTTGGCAGTGGAGGCGTAGGCCTGGGCACTGCTCACATCACCTGCTGTCCTCCGGTCCCCAGACTTCCCAGAGTAGGTGACTGACACAGGGACCTGGTTTCGTGGTTGGGCGTGGAGGTCTTGCTGTGGATGTTGATCGTCACTGGGGCCGAGCTCTGGGGCGCCCCGAGGACAGCCACTTTGTGCTCCTCCTTGAGCATCTCAGGTCGGGGGGCTGCCATTGTGGGCGCCAGGGAACGAGGGTGGGGAATAGCTATCAAGACGACAGAACTTATAGTAAGAGAAGAGAAAATGACAGCGCTCGCTGTCAATTCAGAATGCCTTTCTGGACACCCAACAAGTACCTGCTCTCTGTGGTCACTTGACTTACTTCCCCTCTAGGTTGTAGAAGTACTCTGTGTCTTGTGGAGGATGCAGGAGAGTGTAAACAGGAAAAATGACCTCCAGACCCTTCTCTTTCACACCAACTCTTAGCAAAACCCCTGCCCTAGCCCTGTCTGTAGTTTCTGCAAAGTAACATTTGTTTGAACTTGGTAACATCTTTCTTTCTTTCAAGAGTAGGGGAGGGGCAGAGAGAGAGAAAGAAAGAGAGAGAAAGAATCCCAAGCAGACTCTGCATTGTCAGTGCTGAGCTCGATGCGGGCCCCGAACCCACAAACCATGAAATCATGACCTGAGCCAAAGTCGGACACTTAACCGACTGAGCCACCCAGGCGCCCCTGAACTTGATAACATTGCTCCTCTGGGGCTTGTCTGTATACTCTACATCTTGTATTTGAAAAGCCCATATTGTAAGCATTTCAGAAGATAAAAGCAACTTCTAAAAACATGGCAGTCAGCCAGATGGCCCCATCCTCCCAGGCAGCATTCAGGTGAGGAGGAAGAGAAATCGAGCCTCTTGGTCTCTGGGACAGTTCTCGTGTGGTGTGGGAGGAGAGATTTTGACTCCTCAGTCTTCTCCCGTTAACATCATCAGCTTCTTGCAGGTTTCTGCCTAGGTGGATGGGCGACCTGCTAACTCTTTATTGGTCCAACAGGTGACTTGCCCCAACATCTTCAAATAATGATCAACCTCCTTCGTTGTGAAGATCGGATCAAGCTGGTAAGAAGAGACGAAAGTACCAAGTGTTAATTTTTAATTGTGCGATTTGGTAGGGAATTAGGAGCAGTGGGAGGTGGGAGATTTCTGTGTTGCAGCAAATTCTCTCCCCACCCCCACCATACTTCACAAAAGCCAAAGCCGGGTTTGCTCATCATCACCCACAGCGTCCAGAGAAAGGATGCATTCGGTGTCTGGGTCATTCTGTGCTGGGTTGAGATTTTCAGTCTCTGGATTTTATCTGTTCACCCATTTGACCAACTCTGGGGGATCTCCGCAGAGCCAAGCACTGTCCCTCATGCATGGATATGAACAAGACATGAGAATTAAGAATCTCATCTTAATTCCAGAACTCACAGGGGGAAAGGTAGAAAACAAAAGTCCTTGATGTTGATTTGGTGACGGAAGGGGCCACCATCTGGAAACGCAGGCGAGTAAGGACGTCTTTGCCTGTCTAGGCCGTGCGCTTGGAGAGCGCCTGGGCGGAGCGGGTCCGGTACATGGTGGTGGTGGACAGCAGCGGGCGCCAGGACACGGAGGAGAGTATCTTGCTGGGAGTCGACTTTTCCAGTAAGGAAAGGTGAGTCTGGTGGGGCGGTGCTTCCCCTCTGTGGGGGGTGGAGACAAGGGTTGCTGCTGGAGAAAGGTTTCCGTGGTCCTGTCTCCGTGGGAAATGATGGTGGGATGGGATGATCGGTGCGGGGTGGGGGTGGCCAGGCACGCAGAACAGTAGAGCACACCATTCAGCCCTTGTGCCCTGGGCACTGTGCTAGGTCCAGCCTCTGCTCTCAGCTCTGGGTCTAAGGAAAATCACCCTGGGCTTGGAGGTTTACCACTCACTGGGCACTATCGGGGTACCTTAGAAGAGAGCACCTTAGCCAGGAAGGCTTCCTGAAGGAGGTGACAGCTGTGGACAACACTGACCACCCAGTAAGGCAGGGAGGGTGCCCTCCAGACGGGCCCGTGCTGAAGTCTGGGAGTGATAGGCATCACGTCGAGCACCTGACCCCGTATTACTGTCCCAAGTGGATTCCCAAGTACTTGCTGACGGGTCCTTGGTCAGAAGCTTGAAGAGAGGTTTGGAATTGCCCTGTAAGTGGAGGCCAAGTTAGTTGTATCATAGACCCCATTACGTCTGTGAAATGAGGGTCAACAGCTCTTCTCACATCTGGGATAAATGAGTATGTGTGAGACCGTTGTAGAACCCGGGTTTGTGAAAACCGGATTAAGATAGGTTCCCTCTAGTCATCATTTTTAATCTCATCTACCAAGGAAGGTGGGTGCGTTCTCCTGTGTATGAGGCAGCGGGCCAGATCCGTGGAGAACCAGCCGTACGCAGCTCCCCACCCCAGAGAACTGACACGCCTGGCGAGGAAGGAGCCACAACCAGATAGCAGGGGGGTGGGCTCAGTGATGGAGAGATGGGGGGGACCCTGGAGCGAGGTGGGCTCAGAAGTGGCAAGCCAGAGGCCTCTGCAGCCCGCGATGGCGAGCCCGGTCTCCAAGGGCAAGCGAGGCAGTTCAGGGGTAGGGGTGGAGCAGGGGGGCCATTCAGAGCGCATTGCAGGCAGAATCGATGGGAGGAGAGGAAGAGCCACAGAAGCAATGAGCGGCGTGGCAGCTGTGTGACCAAGTCTTGTTCCCTGGGAAAGCTGCCGTCATGAGTGACCGAGAGTTTATGGCTTGTTAACAAGTACAGGAGTGAAGAGGGAGGGCGTTTTTTTTTATGACCTCCTTCCCGGTACACGACAGCATTGTAAGAAAGTTTTGTGTGCTGCCATCTGCGGCCTTGGGCTGCTCGGGAAGTCGGACCCGGAAGCAGGCGTCACCTGACGGCTGTTAGGAGCTGAGCTATGAGGAGGCCCCTTGAAGACGAGACGGCCCATACTTCATGTCTCCTGATGCCCAGGCAGCCACTCTCGGAAGCAGGCTGAGCTCTGTGTTCCTGGGTCGTTGTTGGCAAGGTTGTGAAGCAGAGACGTCTCATGTCCAATGGTGTTGTGGAGTTTTTTTTATTTTTGAGAGAAACAGAGTGTGAGGTGGGGGCAAGGGCAGAGAGAGGGAGACACAGAATCCGAAGCAGGCTCCAGGCTCCGAGCTGTCAGCACAGAGCCCAGCGTGGGGCTCGAAGTCACAAGCGGTCAGATCGTGACCTGAGCTGAAGTTGGACGCTTAACCCATGAGCCCCGCAGGCGCCTGGTGTTGCAGTTATACTTGTTCCTCCAGCAAGTATATGCCTGCCTTTCCAAGTTCCTTCCGGGGCAGGATCCTTCATCACCATGCGGGGTCCATTCCAGGAACGCTCTTGGCCCTGCGCCAGGCCCTACCTTCGTGTGGAATGCGCCTCTCATCTCCCCCCAAACCGCTGGAGTTGCCGGGAGGCTTCCGTGGGGAGCGCAGTGCAGTGGCCACAGCACGGCCTCGGCGCCTCCTCGAACCCTTAGACCGCCCTGTGGATTGGCCGCCCTGCCTCCGGTTTCACACACGAGGACTCCGGCTCGTGGACTGCTCTGGTTACAAGGCTGTCCTCCTGGTGGGAGCAGGGCCTCAGAGCTGGGCCTTTTGGTGTAGACTTGCAGTGTAGACCCCACACTTCCATAGACCACACAGCTCTCCTCTACACCCTGTTCTGAGTTTGCTCACAGACGAGCCTGCAAACGAACTCCCGTCCTGTGTGCGCAGCACCCTGCCTGGTGCCGGGGCCACATCAGTGACAGAGCCCCCGCCTCTGCTCTCGACCACACAGTCTGGAGGCTGTGACCTGAGCACTAGACACGTCTGCGTGCCCTTCCACACCGCCCTCCACAGTTGCAGCAGCCCCAGGCCTGTGGCTGGGAGGCACCAGGAGGGGGGTGCCTGGAGGCTGCTGGGGCAAGCAGGGGCCTGGGGTGACAGGCACTGAGGGGCCCTTGCTGGGGTCAGCCTGAGCCCTACCCCGCACCGGTAGGCCTTCTGCGCTGACCGGGCACTGGGCACTTTTCCTCAGTCCTGGCTTGAAAGCAAAGCCCTGCTCCTTACCGAGGCTTTTGGCCCTGCTGACAGCATGATATGCTTGCTCTTTTTAAATCCCTGACTTGAGATTTTGCTTCCTTATTCTTAAAAGAGGGAGAGATGGGAATTGCCCACAGGGGCACCTGCAGGGGGTTCCTGTGAGAAGATGTGCAGGTGCGGTGTTGGAGGGGACAACATGTGCTGGTGGCGGCCCTGAGGCTCCCAAGAGCTCCTTCAGAGCCCTCCGTGTGCCCCCTTGGAGACCGGAGCAGCCACCCCCATGTTCCATGGCGCACTGTTTTGTCTGGGACCCAGGGCACTTGGAGCGCCACAGGAGCACCCGGCCACACTGCCCTTGTTGGTCTCGAGCAATCTGTGAAGGGCTTCCACCGTTCCCTTGAGTCCGCACTGGCCCAGCCGGCCCTCTATTCCTGCCTCGCAGGCCCCAGGGACTTGACACTGCCTTCTCCTCCAGCTGCCCCTGCCCACCCTGTCCTTCAAGATCATTCTTCCTTTAAAAGACCCCACTTGCCATATGTGCAAGCGCGCAGGCCCTCCTTCGCTGTAGAAATTTGACTGTCAGTCCCTGCACGACTCCTGGAAACTCACAGAATAACAGATCAGGAAGAGTTGTTAGGTCGTATCATGGTCCCTGCTCGTGCTCTTGATTGTACGGCGGGAGCCTGAGTACAAGTGCTCCGTGGACTTGGCCCCTCGCACGTGGCACTCACTGGGCTCTCCCCCATCTCTGCAATCCAGAGAGGCCAGCTTAGATGCTGCCCTTGCTTCGTCTCCACCGAAAGGCCCGCCTCTGCCCTGAGCCTGGGCCTTTGGCTCCAGTATTGCTCATAGCCTTCTGTTCCGTCTCCTCTCCTCATCACCAGCTCCCAGCGTCTGGTGAGTCATCAGTGCCCAAACGGGGCAAGCCTTCCAGGCCTGGCCACGTGTTCCCAGGGTTCCCTCTACCCTGGGCTTTCAGCATGTCGGTTTTGGGCTCTGAGGGGCCGGTCCACACTGACACAGCCAAGTAGCTCTGGGGCCCCACGAGACTGGGCATAAATTTTATTCTGTGGCTCTACAAGGAAATATAATTAGCCCATCAAGTACGGGTAGGAGTGCAGGGGTGGGGCCGGAGAATTTGCCTAACACAGAAGGCTGAGTCTAATTTGATATGAAGGGCTTGAAGCTACCTTCCCCACAGACAGAGAAGCCGAGGGTGGGAAGGGCCACACGGTCACCAGTGCTCAGGGTGAAGAGGGTCTGGGAGCTCAGTTCCTCATCCACAAGCACGTGAGCGTCGTGTCACTCCCAGGCGGTGACTAAGGGGGCAGAGGAGAACATTCTAGATCCCTGGAGGTTGTTGGAGTTGGCCTTGGCAGCTCTAGCAGTCTGTCACCAGCAGACCCTTGTGAATGCCTGAAGAATTTTCATAATAATCCAAGGGGACCCTCTGATAAAGCCCTTTCTTTCCCTCTGTGTTGTCCAGTGGTGCCTGTCCACAAAGTCATTAAGTGTCATTTCCCTGGTAGGTTGAGCAAAACAAAAGCAGATTAAGCTAATTTTTAAAACACAGCTATACAAAGGTACAGAGACCGAGGCCCGGAAATGAGTTCCAGTAACGGTGTTGGCACCCTCCCCACCCCCACCACCCTGGGACAGGAGGCCTGCTGGCTGCCACCACTCGCCTGCGTCCCCTGGAGGGTGTGTGGCCTCGTTCCAGGAGTGTACCAGCCGTCGGCAGCCTCACCCCCTGTGGCAGCGTGGGCGTGAGGGCAGCTGCTTGCTCTCTGTCCCCTTGAGAGCTCCAGCCGAGACCTGGGCCCCACCCACACTTGGGTGAGCTCAGAGTCCCCTGTGACTAGCTCCAAGTAGAGGTAACTGGTGACCCCCTCCAGTGAGGGCCCATCTGCAGACAGCCTGAGAGCTTCTCCCAGATACATGCGAAGTGGCCAGGCCCAGGTCAGGTGCTGGGTACCCCCTGCGCGCTGGCCAGGCAGGGAGAAGACAGAGAGGGAAGGCCGCGCTCAAGCGGGTGGACCCTAACTCCACGGCATCTGCTCTTTCCTCCCGAGTAGTAAGAGCTGCACCATCGGGATGGTTCTCCGGCTGTGGAGCGACACGAAAATCCACCTCGATGGAGATGGGTAAGGAGATCTCTTTAAATCTTGCGCTGTAGACTTTGAAACACCAGGCGGTGGGGGCACTGTTGGGTCACGTGTGTGCTGTGCTCCTTACATCGGGAGAAATAGCAACGCCCCTCAGCAAGCCACGCCAGGAAGGGGACGTTTTAGCATTGTGTCAGGGCGTTTGGGTCACAGAGTAGCAACAGAAGGGTATTTTCAGGAGATCCGCTGCCGTGTGATAGTCAAGGGCAACAGGCAGCAGATATTCACCCGTTTACCTCCATGTGTTAGATGAATATTCAGCATGCGCCCTCCACGTGGGGCTGGTCTCCAAGTCCACAGTTGGAAAGGACACAGCGGGAGCCCGTGGTCTGTGGGGTGCCGGGGAAGACAGACAGACAGGCAGCTGGCAAATGGAGCAGCGTGTCAGGTGCCTCTCTGGGGGCTGCAGAGGAGGAACCCTTCCGTTTGGCCTGGGCAGGTAAACAAGAGACGAAGAGCCATCGGGTCCCACATACATTTGCTTCCAAGGGAAGTACGCGGGTTCCACCATGAGTGCAAAGGAGCCGAGTAGAAGTTATCCCTCCTCTGAGATTCCAACGGTAAAAGTTACCTTGCCTCATAGTTAGCCTTCGGGGAGAAAAAGTAAAATGTGACCTTTTGGGGAGAGGGAAGGGAGAGGTAGGGTTATGGTTCTATTTTTTTCCTTCTTAACATTTTGCCTTCCGTAAGTATCTTTCCCACGCAATCGCGAAAGTAATGGACGGCACGCGGGGGGCAGGAAGTGGCCGCGGTGGCTGCTCGGACGGTGGCAGGAACGTGAACGAGATGGCGTCAGATGGCGTCGTTGCCCTCACCAGGCTTGGTGTTTCTGACAGACCTCGTGTAGCTGGGTTGAAAGTGGACGTTTGTTTTCGTTTTCTTTTTGTTTTTGTTTTTCGTACTGTGGCCCTTGTTGGACATGCGGGCCGGTAGTCCCTTATCAGAGAGCGCGAGACGCCCTCATCTGCAGGGTGTCCACATGGGCCACCATTTCGCTGTGGGTGCAGTGTCCCTTTTCTCACCACAGTCCCGTTCTTTTCTGTTTGTCTTTCTCAGGGGGTTCAGCGTCAGCACGGCAGGGCGGATGCACGTCTTCAAGCCCGTGTCTGTCCAGGCCATGTGGTAAGTGTGGTCTTGGGGAATTTTATTACCTTCGAAAAATTTTTTTTCTTTAGCTGCCAAAATGAATCGAAAGACCCCCTTTGACTGTAAGGCTCATTTAGGTGCATTGTGGGGGAGGGGGGAGCAAAATATGCATAATGTAAAAGGTACCATTTTAACCACTTTTTTAAAGTATGCCTTTCAGTGTACATCTGTGATGTGCGAACTTAACCATCCATTTCTGGAGCTTTTCCTTCTTCCCAAATGGAAAGCCTGTGCCCATTAAACACTCATGCCCTCTCTCCCCAGCCCCTGGTACCCTCTATTCTGCATTCTGTCTCTGTGAATTTGCCTATTCCAGTCCCTCCTATAAGTGGAATCATCTACTTTTTGTCCTTTTGTGTCTGGTTTATTTCACTTAAAATCTTGACGAGGTTAGGGGTGCCTGGGTGTCTCAGTCGGTTAAGCATCTGACTTCGGCTCAGGTCACGATCTCACGATTCGTGGGTTTGAGCCCTGCATCGGGTTCTGTGCTGATAGCCAGCTCAGAACCTGGAGACTGCTTCCAATTCTGTGTCTCCCTCTCTCTCTGACCCTCCCCTGCTCATGCTGCCTCTCTCTCAGAAATAAATAAAACATTTTTTAAAAAATTAAAAAAAAAATCTTTATGAGGTTTGTCCATATTGTAGCAAAAAATAATTTTTTTTAAGTTTATGTATTTTTAGAGAGCACACACATGAGCAGGGAGGGCCAAAGAGAGAGGGCATCCCGAGCAGGCTCTGCAATGTCACCTCGGATCCTGACATCGGGGCTCAAACCCACGAACAGTGAGATTGTGACCTGAGCTGAAGTCATGAGTCAGATGCTCAACCAACGGAGCCATCCAGGTGCCCCTGGGTCACAGTATTTTTAAGGCTGAGTATTACTCCAGTCTCTGGTTAGACATTATGTTTTGTTTATGCTCTCATCTGGGTTATTTCCATCCTTTGGCTACTGTCGAAGTATCTGTTTGAGTTCCTGTTTTCAGTTCTTTAGAGTATGTACCTACAAGTGGAATTTTTAGATCACGTGGTTAATTCCGTGTTTAACCTTTTGAGGAACCAAAACTGTTTTCCGCAGCACCCGTGCCATTTTACATTCCACCCTCCACCCCGAGCCATGCACAAGGGTCCCATTCCCTCCATGTCCTCTCCAGAGCCCCGTTATTTTGTTTTATTTCGTCATAATGGCCCGCTTAAGGGGTGTGAAGTGGTGTCTCATTATAGTTCTGATTTGTGTTTCCCTAATTAATTACTACTGAGCCTCTTTTCATGTGCTTATTGGCCATTTGCGCATCTTCTTTGGGGAAATGTCTGCTCCAGCCCTTTGCCCAGTTAGTAACGGGGTTGTCTTTTTGCCATTATTTTTACAGATCTACAGTTCCGGCTGTCCAAATGTCATTCTAGCACGAATTAGCCGGTCCTTTGTACCTGGCACACGCTGGATTTGCGCCCTCAGGGGAACGGCACTCTGCCAGGCCCCGGGCATCTGGGAGGGCGTACGACAGAACATAATTCCTGTCTTGGTGGGGTTCAAAGTCTGTTGAGGGAGGTGGCCCTCCCGTGTGGAACCCAGGAGTGCTGGGAGGGTGCTCTCCCAGGGCCCCCGCTCAGGGACACAGGGCGTAGGGCCTCCCGCACGCGCTGCCTGGGGGATGACGTAGCCGTGGGTAGAGTCTGCGCCAGGTGAAATGGGTCACGTCAAGTGCTTCCCAAACCGGCGCTGGCATCCCAGATCCTTCCTCCTCCGGGGGGGGCAGGGGGTGGGGGACTGCACAGCAAACTCAACACAACGGTGCCCCTCTCCAGTGATCTAGAAAAGACTCTGGAAAAAGGTGGTGGGGTCTGGGGAGAAGGGTCCTGCCCAGTGTTTCACAGTTGTTACTTTTTGCCTCTGGGGCAGCGCGAGAGGCAGTGCTTCGCTTTTACCTTGTCTGTTACCCTCCACCGCCCCCAGTTCAGGACTATTCTGGGGAAACTCACAAAATCCTCAGTCTCCCCATGTCCCAGATGGTTCTGGCGCCCCTGGATCGTTTCTTCCCGCCTTCAAAACAGGCCCACAGAACTTCCAGAACTTCCAGAACAGGCCTTCCAGAACTTAAGGCACAGAACCAAATGTAGCAAATGTGCAGCTCAGGCCAGTCCCCACAGGCAGCCTGGAGACGGGACAGACGCACCTGAGTAGGGCACACGCGGTGGCTTCTGTGCGGCAACCAGGCTCTTCCCCCCGCCCCCCCCCCGGGCTTCCTGCTTCCACTCTGCACTGCTGCCCAATTCACCCCAACCGCCAAGAAAGTTTCAGCCTCAATTTTTGTAAAAAGAGCTTTAGAAAAGAAAAGGACGACTGAGCTGACCATGATTGTATACGTTTTCCGTGCTGTTCCTCCCAGCCCACTCCTTCTTTTTTTTTTTTTTTTTAAATGTTTTATTTATTTCTAGGAGAGAGAGAGAAACAGCGTGAGCAGGGGAGGGTCAGAGAGAGAGGGAGTCACAGACTCTGAAACAGGCTCCAGGCTCTGAGCTGGCAGTCAGCACAGAGCCCGACGCGGGGCTCGAACCCACGAACCGCGAGATCATGACCTAAGCGAAAGTCGGACGCTTAACCGACTAAGCCACCCAGGCGCCCCTAGCCCAGCCCACTCCTTCTTGAACCCTGTCTTCATTTCATTCCTGTATCAATGTGAGCTTCTGGAGCTTCATTTCCCCAAGAGATCTAAGCTTTGAAGCTGTGATAACACTGATGGGACAGGGTTACACAGTACGTCGTTCAGAACGCAGTAAAATGTCTCTGCTGTAAGTTAGAGACTCCTTCCTGCTCGGAGCCTCCTAGGCTTCCGGGTGGTTCCACATTTACGGTATCCTCACAGCTTCAGAAGGAAATCTTCACTCTTGGGAGTTAATGGATGGAGTGCAGAGAGATACATGAGTCATTCTGGGTGGGCGATAACGTTTGTACTGCTGCCTTGTTGGGCATGATGAAGGATGTCCCCTCCACCCTTGGGGGCAAAGCATGTGTCATGGAGACGAGGCGTGTTAATCTGGAGGTTTTGGGCTGCCTGGTAGCCCCCAGGTAACCTGATACGTGGGAAGACGCACTCCAGTAGGAAGTCCTTTAGGGATCACCCTGCCCGGCCATGATCTCAGCCCCCAGTCAGGGGGAAAGCCCAGCACCCCCCGGCCTGCCCCGGGCCTGACCCTGTCCCCCTCCTCACCCCAGGTCTGCCCTGCAGGTCCTTCACAAGGCCTGCGAAGTGGCGCGAAGACACAACTACTTCCCCGGCGGCGTGGCTCTCATCTGGGCCACCTACTATGAGAGCTGCATCAGCTCCGACCAGAGCTGCATCAACGAGTGGAACGCCATGCAGGACCTAGAGTCCACGCGGCCCGACTCCCCAGCCCTGTTTGTGGACAAGTAAGTGCCCTGCGGCCTCGCCCACACCCACGCCCACGCCGGGCCACCTGGAGTCTGCACGAGGTTGCACCTCCCCCGTAGTCTGGTGCATGAGGGCCACCTCTCCCAGGACCAGCATGCCGAGTGGCCCTCCCTCACCTGCTGCCCCACCGTGGTCTTTGGCTCTGGGATGGCACGACCACCATCTTCCCCATTAGAATTAGAGATGGATTTCAGTGTGGATGCGTTTCTGGGGAACAGCCCCGTGACTCCTGCAGCCCACCTGCTTCAGCGACCCTCGGGCAGGGCTCTTGGGTCTGGCCTCTCCCCTTCAGCTGGCCCGAGACTTAATTTCCAGAGCCGTTCCCTGTGCTCTTAGGAGTATTGTATATCCATCGTCCTATGACCCTAAAATACAGCTGCACCAACACTGGCGAGGGCAGGCTGCCTTTGAGGCCCAATCCAGTGGCCCTTGTCACATTCCCTCCAGCAGAGCTCATGTGGCCTGAGTTGACATACGCTAAATGAAAAGTCTAGGTCCAGAAGGAAGTGGCTCTCCCCTCCTGTCTTGGTTAGAACCGTCCTCCCCCTGAGTTGTCTGTCCCTCTGGGACTGCACTGCAGAGGGCCCCGGACGGAGAGGTCGGCTTGAGTAAGGAGAGGACTGGAAGCCACATTCCATGAGGCCTCAAATTACGAGAGGTCTGGGGGAGAGTTATAGTTGTCTTTGAATATATAAAGGGGCGCCCTGTGGAAGAATTATTCTCGTCTGCATAGAACCGGGGCCATGGGCAGAAGCTGCAGGGAAACACATAGATTCCTCGTGTAAGAAGGACATCGCGGGAGCCAGATGCAGTTGGAACTCTGGACTGCCTCTTGACACAGCGATGTCATCACGCCCAGACACGTTCAAGCAGAGACAGAAGAGGCTGGTTGTGGGAGGGCGGGGGTGGGGGATGGGGAGCAGGACACTACTCTAGTGCCTCCAGGTCTGGCCTTGAGAGGGATTCTCTGCAGACCCAGGTAAGGATGTGCTTTCCAGCCGTTGTTCGTGCGTGCCATCTGCTCTCCGCTCTGTGGACTCGCATGGGAGTTCCAGACCCAGAGCGGGACTCCTCTGTCCCCTCCCCCCACCACCAAAACATGCACATCAAGGCAGGAGCTGTCTGAGTCCAGGCCGTGTTCTCGTTAGCCCAGGAGCATCTGGGGTTTCTGTACACGCTGACCTCAGGTGCCCTCTCGGTGTGCGTGTGACCCAATGTCCTTTCTTTCCAGGCCAACCGAGGGAGAGAGGACCGAGCGCCTCATCAAGGCCAAGCTCCGGAGCATCATGATGAGCCAGGACCTGGAAAATGTGACCTCGAAAGAAGTAAGAGGGCTTGCGCCTTTGCAGGCCAGAGCTCAAGCAGTGCTCATGTGTCCCACCACCCAGACCACAGTGCAGGCAGGTCTGGCACCTGCCCACTGACTTTCAGAGGCTTTTTCCCACAGGGCTTAACGGAAGGAGTGTGGGCCTTCGAGTCCGGCTGCACTGCGTACCTGCCGTGGGGCCTTAAACAAATTCCCTGGCCTCTCTGAACCTGTCAGACCTTCAGTGCCAATTCCCTGGGACCCGTAGATGGCCCTGAGCAGCATTTCTCTCCTAAGACCCTCTCTCTGCCTTGTGTGTTACTGACATGCAGCAGACTGTTGTTTGCAATCTCAGCATTACCAGTTACCAGCGAGTTCCGAGCCCTGGGCCGCTTCCCATCTGCCTTTGAACGTTTCCTTGGATCACTGTTTTCTTTTTCTCAGCTTACTATTTGTTCAAAGAATGCAGTGAATTATAATAATAGGTTAGGGGCGCCTGGGCGGCTCAGTCAGTTAAGCGTCTGACTTCAGCTCTGGTCATGATCTTCCGGTTCATGAGTTCTAGCCCCATGTCGGGTTCTGTGCTGACCGCACAGAGCCTGCTTCGGATCTTCTGTCCCTCTCTCTGTGCCCCTCCCTTGCTCTCTCCCTCAAAAACAAACACTAAAAAATAATAATAATAGCTTAAACTAAGCAGACAGAGGGGGTTGAAACAGCCCCTTTAAAAAGCCATACATCATCTTTTTATTAGTTAATACACATAAAAAACCGTACCTTCCAGAGCAAGGTGAAACTGACTGGGATATATTTGCTATTTTACTGTAAAATCATGCCTTAAACACAAAAGAAGAGGTCCCCTGGGAATCTGCTGCTTCATATAAAATAATCCCCTCTTCCTGGTCAGACTGCCCTCAGGCCCGAGCAGCCGTGTTTCTGCCCCCTGCCTGTGTGCTGCCTGCGCCTCAGGAGTATGCGTTTGGGTAAAAACAAAGCAAAACAACAACAACAAAACTTCTTTTTTGTTCTGTTTGTTTTAAATTTTTTAAATGTTTTTATTTATTTCTGAGAGAGAAACAGCGTGAGCAGGGGAGGATCAGAGAGAGGGAGACATAGAATCCAAAACAGGCTCTAGGCTCTCAGCTGGCTGTCAGCACAGAGCCCAACGTGGGGCTTGAACCCACGAACCGTGAGATCATGACCTGAGCCGAAGTCGGACGCTTAACTGACTGAGCCCCCCAGGTGCCCCACGAAACATCTTCTTTGAAAACAAGCCCAGTGTAAGTTGTGACTTTGCTGTTCTGGAGGTGGACAGCTGTCATTTTGTACCAAATCCCTTGTCCTTCCCTTCCCCACTGCACAGATCCGGAGTGAACTGGAGACTCAGATGAGCTGCAACTTGAAAGAATTCAAGGAATTCATAGACAACGAAATGCTCCTGATCCTGGGACAGATGGACAAGCCCTCCCTTATCTTCGACCATCTGTATCTCGTAAGAGGCACCGCCCCCGGCAGGGTCTGGTGGGGGGGACAGAAATCAGCAGGGCCTTGCAGCAAAGTCACAGAGGTACGGGCACCTGGGTCCTGAATGCTCTGGGAATTCCTGTCCCTGACCCCACTGCCCTGACCTCCCCGGGTTTGCTCCCGAGCCCGAGGCCCCAGGGGTGGAGGAGCTGTGGGCAGTTGTTGAAGGCTCCCCGGCATAGCCCGCTCACGGCAGCTGCCAGACTCTCCCCACCCTTGGGCTTCAGTCACGAACACAGAGGCCCCACCCAGTTACCTCCCAATGGTTTGCGGGCTCAGAACCCCCAGTTACCAGAGGGAGCATGCTCCCTGAACCCCAGAATCATGCCCCGGCATCCTGAGACATGAGAAGCAGTAGGGAAAACAGACCACACACCCAAAACACCGCTTCCCCTCTCTGTCCGGGTGACTACTCTGTGCACTGCTCCCAGGCCCAGCCGAGGAACAGGCTCTAGTAGCATCCCCAGGGGCGGGCTGTGCGTAATCTCCCCACCTCCATCTCTTGCTCAGATTTTCTTAATGCTATAAATCTCCATAGAAGGCAACTGGCGAGTTCCCAGCGCCTCTCAGAGACTATAGGGGAAGGCATGTTGCTAAAATTAGAGAAGCAATGTAGTGTGACAAAGATCAGACCCACCAGGGCCAGGGCCCCGCTCCCAAGCCCGAGCAGCTGCGTGACCTGCACCGGGCCTCTTTGCCTTTCTCCTTCCTTCTGTACCATGTGGGATGGTTATGAGGATGAAGTAGGAGACGTTTTTAAAGCACCTAGTGCAGTTGCGTAGCCACTCACAAATGGCACCCATCGTTAGAGCAGGAATCACTTCCTGGGAAAGTGGAGGTAGCGCGTTTGCCGCCGAAGGCATGAAAGGTTGTGTTTTCTGCCCACAAGAAGTGCTCCGTAGTTCTCCACATGCATGTGTCGTGATACAGACTTGATATATTAAATATGCATATATGTAGCATATTCTTATATATCACGCCCTGCGTAGCTGTATTTTTAACGTGCATATTAAAACGTATGTGAGCATGTGGATTTGAAGCCTCTCTCTGGAAAGCTGTCGGCCAGTGCTGGGCTCTCCTCTTCTCCCTGGGAAGCTGGTGGTCTTCCCTGGTGGAAGACACTAGAAGGCGGGCTGTCCCTCCACTAGGTGGTGATCACAACAAGGGGATGCTCACACGTTGAGCAGAGCTCCCTTTATTTTCTCGGTGCGGTTTGGTGCTTTATGTCACTTTTTCCATGAGAGATATTAAAGGAATTTTTATATTTGAGCCTCTCCCTGCAGTGTGGAAATCCAGCTTGCACCCACACGATGCCAGCTTCGCTGGGCCCCTGCGTCCTTGGGGCCTGCCTTCCTGGGAAAAGAAGCTTCTAGGGAGACTTGGGGGGTGGGGGTGTTGCTCTTTTGACTCCATGTCGTTTGCATTTCCTAAGGGCCAAGTGATAGTTTTCTCTTTCGCTTTTCTTCCCCTTCTGTGTTCCTCATATGCTCAAGAAGTGGAAGGTTTCTTTTTTAGTGTGCTTTAAATCAAAACATGTCATGGGAGGTAAGGAAATAGGAGAAACTCTAAAGAAGAAAATAATAAGCGTTCCCAGTTTTACAAATCTGGATGTAGTCACTGTGAGTGTTCTGGTATATTTATTTCCCCATTTGTGTTTTGTTTTTTTTTTCTTTTTATGTCTATATAGCTTCTTAGAAAAGAGGAAAGGAAAGAATCATACTATTTATATAGTTTTGTATCCTGTTTTCTTGTTTTAAATTGTTTTCATTCTGTGGCATTTCCCTGTGTCACTGACCAGCCACCAAAAACTATGATTTTTAAGTGCTCCCTCATACAGATTCATCATCATTTATCTTGCTGATTTCTTGTCAGACCTCTGAGTTGTTTTCCATTGTTTGTCGTTATAAATAACCATCACTATCCTTGTATATAAATCTCTGTGCAAATTCTGGGTGTTTCCACAGGACAGCTTTTTGTATGAATGGAACTAATGGGTCAGAGGGTGGGATCTTAAAAATACTTCCCAGAAGGTGGACTGACTCCTGCTTTATTTTGTTATTTTTTAATATTTCTTCATTTTTGTTTTGTTTTTTTTTAAATGTTTTATTTATTTCTAGGAGAGAGAGAGAGAGACAGCGTGAGCAGGGGAGGGTCAGAGAGAGAGGGAGTCACAGACTGAAACAGGCTCCAGGCTCTGAGCTGGCAGTCAGCACAGAGCCCGACGCGGGGCTCGAACCCACGAACCGCGAGATCATGACCTAAGCGAAAGTCGGACGCTTAACCGACTAAGCCACCCAGGCGCCCCTATTTCTTCATTTTTGAAAGAGAGCATGAGCAGGGGAAGGGCAGAGAGAGAGGGAGACAGAGGATCTGAAGCTGGCTCTGCGTCGACAGCACAGAGCCCGACATGGTGCTGGAACTCACGAGCCGTGAGGGCATGATCTGAACTGAAGCTGGACGCTTAACCGACTGAGCCACGCAGGTGCCCCAGACAACCCCTGCTTTAAGTTCGCAGTGTGTGCAAGGGCCCTCTCCTGAGTGGGAGGTCGGAAGCCACTGCCTCCGGTGACAGGACCCTGCTGGCGTCCTAGGAAATGAAGTGGCAAGAGGGGTGCAGGTTTTGCAGAACTTGCTGTTCCCCGAAGGCCAGAGGGCATCACGCTCAGGCTGACGACGCTGTGACTGCCTCGGGAACCTGCTTCGATACCGGCCTCTTTTGGTTCTGTCCGTTGTCGAAGGCCAAGGGCCCGTCGGGGCTAGCCCGCACCGTGCATCCCATAAGCAGCTCTAAGGCTGACATGTGACACTCACGGGGGTTTGTGTGATCTGTCCCCCAGGGCTCTGAATGGAATGCATCCAATCTGGAGGAACTGCAGGGCTCAGGGTGAGTCTGCTCCCCTCGTCTCCCCTTGTCCTTCCAGGCAGCTTAGAAACCCTCAAGGTCGAGCCCTTAGAACTGCGGACACCCCACCTCCAGTCTCCAAGGCAGCCACCTGGCGGGGCCGGGCAGCTTTGCACAGCTAAACAGATGTGCTTCAAAATGCCACCTCCTGAATCATTCATGGGTTTTATGTTTTAACGGGGTTCCCTGTGATTGTGCGTGTTAGCAAGAGAAGTTCACAACCACACACCAGTGGCACAGGGCCCACTGCCCGGCATGGGTGCTGGTTGTCCTGGGGTGGCCCGTGCAGCTGCTCGGATCCCAGGGGCGCTCTTGGTTCTACAGAGGTTACACTCTGGGTTCTGGTGGGAATCCGTGTTGGCCAGAGGCATATACCTGCCTCAGCCTGAGAAATGTCCAGCAGTGGGAATAAAAAAAAAAAAAAAAAGTTTAAATCTAGATCTTCAAGAACAGATGTCTGGACATTTTCTTTTAAACAACACAGCCACAAAATCACCGTTCTGTGGGTCTGACATGATGGCATCCTTGAATCACTGCATTTAAAAACCAAGACTAAACAAATCTTAAAATACACCGTTAGAACTACTGGTTAAGATGTGTTTTTTCGACAAAAAAAAAAAAAATTCTTAAAATGTAGAGCAATACTCTTTCTGCCTTTTCATGCTGGGAATAAATAAATGACCTTTAAAGGTATTTTCTTACAGTGTTCCTGTGTATTCTCTTACAAAACTGATTTGAGGTATTTTCTAACTCCTGAAATTATTTTGTTCTTCCGGGAATAGAAGTATCACATTTAAAGAACTACAGAAGCTGCATTTGAGGACCTTCTCAACGATTTATTTGTTTCTAGTCTGCCTTGTTTCAAAAAAGATTTAAGGCAGTTTTTAGGTACATGAATAATGGATGGATATATTCTATTTTTTTTTTTTTAGCTATTTAAAAGTGGAGACTTTGTTTTTGTTAAGCCTCAATATATTCATAACAGTTACAAATCTTGAAACTTTAAGAGTGTTTGAAAATGTATTTAAGTAATATGTATGTTTGCTTGCCAGAATTTGTATTGCTTAGCAATGCTTTGAACTTTTTTTTCTGAGTTTTTATGAAGAAATCTATATTTTTAAAAATTTTAAATATAATACTTTGTCATCATATATAGGCATTTAGAAAACACACCAATGTGTGTTAATGACCGTTAAGGAAAAACAAAAGTCCCACCGTAAACGTATACCCTTTATGCGTGCATGTTTAATTTTTTCTTTGCTCAGTTTTCTGTTACCTTGTTCTTTGTAGTTCCTCGTTCTGATTCTCCAAATGTGTCCTTTACTTTTTTCTCATTACAGTGTTGACTACATCTTAAATGTCACTAGAGAAATAGATAACTTTTTTCCTGGCTTGTTTGCATATCATAACATCCGAGTCTACGACGAGGAAACAACCGACCTCCTTGCCCACTGGAATGAGGCGTACCATTTTATAAACAAAGCAAAGTAAGTGGGCGGGAGAAGCTGGGCTGAGTCTGGCAGACGCTGGGTGGGCAGCAATGAACAGCAATCCCAGACACAGCCGTCTCCTGGTTTGTGGAGCCTCTGAGGTCCGGCAGACCTCTGGTCGTAACCCACAGCACCCGTAGCGTCAAAGGGCACAGTCGCTGATCTCAAGGTGGGGGCCCTGACGAGCCTTCGTTTCCCCCATCCTCCACTGTGACGTTGGCCCCCACTTCTGCTGATGGCATCAGAAGTGGTATCAAAAAAGGGTCTGATACCGAGTGCACATTCTTGGGCACTCTGCCCTTGTGGAGTCGCTGAGCCAAAGGAGAGGGGAGGGTGGGACAAGTCGTACGTGGGCTTTGGGCACCTTCGGGGCCACATAGGCCCCGAGGTATGGCCCGCCTTGCACAGCTGTGTCAGTACAGTTTCCCTATTCATAGAAAGGGGCAGACCGTCAGAGGTCCCCGTTGCCCTGAGCCTGTCACGGGTGTCCGCTGTCTGTGGTCCTTCCCTTATTCTCCTACGGAACAACCCTGCCTCACCAAGGGAGAGAAAACCCTCCACGACGCTGTCGAGAGAAACCCCATCTTCTGCTTTGTGCCCCATCGGGGGCGAAGCTATGTAACATGTCCTTACCAAATCTCAGTTTGTTTGAATTCTTGGGGGGTAGATTTCAGACCAGCAGTGAAACAGAAAAGCAAGCAAAACAAAATGCATGACATACGGGGATGAATTTGAAGCCTGGGGTCTAGGAAACGAGCCTGAGCGGCCGGCTGCTTCCAGTGTAAACAGGCAGGCTGGTGGGTCTGCCCGCTGTGCAAACAAAGCTCTCCAGGCCCGCCCCGCCAGCCCCTTCCATTCTCAAGGAAGCCAGGTCCCGAGAAGCACCGTCTGTGGCTCTGCTGTATCTATGAAGTCAGGACCACCTCCCCGCAAGCCACCTGTGCACCTGTGTTCCTCCCCTCCTCTGAGTCCGGGGTGCTGCTGCCCTGGCGCCGGCTCCCCGACCTCTTGTCCAGTGCGTACCTTGCTGTCCCGAGGGCCTTGTAGTCTTTGGTTCGCTGACCCCATTTTCTGCAGTCACCCACTCCCTGGCTCCATCTGCTGTAGCAGCTGCGTGGCTTTTGCAGATGTCTCTTTGGCTGCCTCTCTGCTCCCTGCAGAAAAGCCTCTGGTCTCCTGGAGCATCCCGGAGCATCTCCTGGAGTGTCCCCGAAGGCGGCTTTGGGAGCTTTCCCTGCACAGCTTGGCAAGGCCAGGACAGAGTTCTTTTGAGTTCCCGTTGTGTGCTAATTGATTCTGCAGTGAAGCTATTTCCTTTAGAGGGCGTGTGGCCATCTGCTGCACAAATATCGGGGCAGAAAGGGGGTATGGGTGCGGAGATAACTTCAGGGCGTGCAGAACTCCCGAGAGAGGGAAATTGTTGAAGAGTCTGGACTGTCTCCCCGCCCGTGCAGGAGGAACCACTCCAAGTGCCTGGTACATTGCAAAATGGGCGTCAGTAGGTCCGCCTCCACGGTCATAGCCTATGCCATGAAGGAGTTCGGCTGGCCCCTGGAGAAAGCCTACAACTACGTGAAGCAGAAGCGCAGCATCACCCGCCCCAACGCCGGCTTTATGAGGCAGCTGTCTGAGTATGAAGGCATCTTGGACGCCAGGTGGGTGACCGCCTGCCCAGAAGGATCGGCGCCTCCCCTCCCCCCGGAGGTGGCCTCCGCGGCTATAGCCCTGCCTCTGGAGAGGGGAGGGAGGCCATCTGAGAAAAACAACCATTGTTTGGGGTTTGATTAGCGGTTTCCAGGAGGGATCCGTTTGATTTTGTTGGCATGCACAGAAAGCTGTTTTGCTGCCGGAGGGGCCGGTGCACAGCCTCTAACCCGGCTGTGATATCATGTGCAGTGCAGGCACGTGGCCGTCCCCGTTTCCTGAGTATCTGCTTCGTGCCTAGCCTGCGCTGGGCTGCGCCCCGTGGCGGTTCCAAGGGCCGCCGAGCAGACTGAGCCCCACCCCCCAGCACTGATGAGCCTGGTGCCCCGGGCGAGCTCGCCCGTGTCCCTGAGCCTCTGTGTCGTCTTCTGAGTGTGGAAATAACACCCCCCTGGTAGGGTTGTTGGGAGAGTGAGGAGAATAGCATACACGTGCACCTTCGCGGGTGCTTTGCCAGACCTGGCTCGTGGGAACCTCTTAAACCTCTAACCCCACCCAGAAAAGGTCCTCACAGTACAGGCTGTCCCACATGTTGGGGGGGTAGCGTGTCCCACAGCACGCAGCTGGCACGAAGCAGAGGGGAGGGAGCACCCCCAGGTCCGTGGGCTCCTGAGGCCCCTGCGTGGGGATGCCCCGTGGAGGCGGAGCCCTGCTGTACTTCAGGACTCCTTTCTGTTCCAGCGGGCGGTGCGGGGCCCCCCTCGGTTATTTCTGATGTATGCGGAGGCCACAAGCTGAGCCCATGGGCTTGGCCACGTGTGTGAAAGTAGGAGTGCTCCAGCAGGGTTGCCCCGGCAGGGTTGACAGGGTCTGAGAACTGCCTAGTCTCTGGAGTCCCTTTACTGTCAACCAAGGAGCAGCTGGACAGATCCCAGGGCAGGGCCCAGGGATGATGGGGAGGCACGGACAGAAGGGGAGGAGCCGGAGGAGGCGAGGGAGGGGGAGAGGTGGGTGGTCCTGCTCCCCTCTCTCTTGGCCCTTCAGTCACCGGCTGCCATCAGGTGTTTGCAGCCTCACCAGGGGTCTTCAGGCTGAGTTCACAGCCACAGGCACCGACCCTGACTTGCAGCCCCATCTGGGGGCCCCTCTCGGCCTTGCCTGGAATTCACACACAGAGCGGTCACAAATGGCCACAGTGCTCCCGTGCACTGCAGGAAGGCAGGGCCTACATCACGCTGTGCTTTTACTCTGCTTCTCTCACCGTAACCCGCACCACCACGTGCTGTTGGCATTGTGCCCTAAGGTTCGTGGAGGTGACTGACTTCCTTTATTTCACATCAAACCTTTATCTTCTCTCTTTTTTTTTCACCCTTACATTAAAAATGTGTTATAGCAGGGTCACCTGGGTGGTTCAGTCGGTTAAGCGTCCTACTCTTGATTTAGGCTCAGGTCATGATCTCCTGGGTCGTGAGCTCGAGCCCCGTGTCAGGCTCTGTGCTGACAGTGCAGAGCCTGCTTGGGATTTCTCTCACCCTCACTGTCTGCTGCTCCTCTGTGCTCACACATTCTCTCTCTCTCTCCAAATAAGCATTTTTAAAAAATGTGTTCTAACAATGCTACTACAGCTTTATAAGACCTATTTTTAAATGTTTCTTCTTGACAGAGAGAGCACACACATGCAAGTGGGGAAGGGGTAGAGAAACACGGGGACAGAGGATCGGACGCTGGCTCCACACTGTCAGCCAAGAGCCCTGTGCGGGGCTTGAACTCACAAACCATGAGATCATGACCTGAGCCAAAGTCGGACGCTTAACCCACTGAGCCACCCAGGCACCCCTGTGACCCGTAATCTTTCTGACCTAAATACATATTTCCAGTTTTCTCCGATGGGCCCAAGTGAAAGCGTATTCCGTGTTACATGATTGGGCCAGTGTGAGGCCTGTTTGCTATCTCCCAGCGGTATAGGAGGAGAGAATCCTGCTTGCCAACGGATGGAGAGACTTAGAGATGAACCAGGAAGTGGACTGGCTAAGGTCACAGAGTGAGACGAGACCCCCAAGACCGCGATGGCACTCAGGGTCCACCCTGCTTTTCCGTATCTGGCACACAGTCCTTGCATGACAAAGTCAGTTAAGGCTCCTGGCGTGAGCCCTGGCACTTGAGGGTCCTCGCGATACTGGTGTCAGCCCCAGGCTGTCCCTGGCCAGCCCACCCCCACCCCACCTCTGGGGACCCCGTGGGCACTGCCCCCCCTGACTTTCCTCTGCTCCTCTTCCCCTGCAGCAAACAGCGACACAACAAACTGTGGCGCCAGCAGGGCGATGCCTGCCTCCAGCTGCCCGTGGAGGACCCCACGGGGTCTGGGGACTTCCTGCCGGAGACTCTAGACAGCACCCCAGAAGCCCCGCTGCCCTGCCTAGAGGACGACGCCCGGCCTGGGCTCCCGGACAGCAGGGCCCTGGGAGGAGCTGCTCTCCCCTGCTGCTTCCGGCGCCTCCCAGACCCCCTCCTGCACCCCCCCAGTGACGAAACCGCCAGCATGGTTCGCCTGGACGACCTGGAGAGGGACGCCCTCTTGGAGGAAGCAGCCGAGGCCACCGAGGCGTGCGGGCCGGCCATACCCCCCCAGGAGGCTTCCAGGCCCTGTGAGAAGGAGGTGAAGAAGAAGCTGGAGTTCAGGAGCCCCAAGGCCTCCTCACCGCCGCAGGTGGAGGACATGGAAGGGGAGGAGGCCCCGGGAGCAGGGCGCTGGGGGCGGCCCCCCTCCCAGCCTGACAAAAGCCTGCTTAACCGGGAGAACCTGAACAACAACAACAGCAAGAGAAGCTGTCCCGAGGACTTTGAGGTAGGCAGCTCCGCAGCTCTCCCGGCCTGCCCCCTGCCCGCGGGTGCTGCTGCAGGGGGAGGGCGGGCGCACCGTGTCAGGGCTCTGCAGGGCAGCTCAGGCGGGCAGCACCTCTGGCTCAGTTTCCTTCCTTTCTTTTCTTTCTTTTTTAAAGTTTATTTTTATCAATTTTGAGAGAGAGAGAGTGCTGGCACGCACGTGCGAGAGCACATGGGGGAGGGGTAGAGACGGGGGAGAGTCAGCACAGAGCCTGACCCAGGGCTCCAGCTCACAAACTGAGATCATGACCTGAGCCGAGACCAAGAGTCAGACACTCAGCTGACCGAGCCTCCCAGGCGCCCCTCGATGTTTTTCTTCCATAGAATGGAAAACAGAATTTAGCACGCAGCGTCGCGTTTATCAACCCAAGACCATTCTTAGTTCTCACCCTCCCGCACTTTCCACCCTGAATCGTCTGGAAACAAATCCCACACTTGTCGCTGCGTTCACAAATGCTTCAGGGGCGACATGACCACAGTTTCACCTTTGAGCATTGGTGGGAATTGCTCCGTATCATCAAATGTCTGGTCTCAGACCCCTCTTCCAGCGCTGGGCTCCAGTAGTCCCTGTGGCACTCCTGGGTGCTGGGTCTGCAGCAGAGGCTTCGCAAGCCGGCGCTTGCTCCAAAAATCATGAATTCCACCAGGCTTTTCCCTCCTCCAAGCGGCCCAGGAGCAGAGGGTGGGCTCTGAGGGCTATGCCGGGCCGCCTGCTCTTGGCTTCCGCCCTCCTCCCACCTGCTCGCCACAGTCAGCGCCCAGGAGCTTCGCTTCCCCAGGCCTCACCACCTGCGGAAGGCTGGCAGGTGCCAGCATCCCCTGTACGGAGGGCTCACCTTGACCGCCTTATAATACGAATGAAACGGGAAGTTAGATGTACTGACGTCCCACCGGTAATCATTCCGGACCCAGTGTTAATTACTCAGGAGCGCCTCCCCACTCACGCTTCCCTCAGAGAGCAAATGCCCATAGCGAGAGGACGGGAAGCCTCCGTCGGTCTCACAGGACCTGGGGTGAAGCGTAGAATGGAGATGACGAGCTTAGCCTGGACAGGAAGGTGTGAGAAGGACACCGCCTGCCTTTCCTGGCCGGAATTTGATCAAGTGGGTGACACGATCGAGGGAATAGGACCAAGACACAAGCATTCGTTTGTTCATTCAACTCTTGTGAACTACGGTGCCAGGTTGGTGAGGGCTTCACCTGTAAGGTGACTGTGCCTTCGCTCAGCTTTCGGGTCCATTTTCTCTAGAAGACAGTAGACCCTCTGGGGGCGGGGACCGTGTCTGGTTTGCAGCCCCTGCCCCTGACACAGGTCATGATGTGGGACAGGCACCCCCTAAATACGCGTTGGACGAGTGAATTCTCTCCTGGCCTATTGCTCCTTGGGCTCCGAAAGGTGGTCTTAAATCTCCCACCACGGGACCATTTCACTGCATTTTAGAACGCTGGGTTCTGGAGATTTTAGAAGAAAACCTTGGTCAGAGTTCCAGGTGGAGAGTTCAGGCTGTATGTCGGGGGTGATTGGGTCTCACTGGCTGACCGGAAGCTGGCCCCTGAGTAGGACAGGGTTCTGCGGGAGACCAGGTTCCTCCCGTACTGTCCCACCCTGTGACTTCTTACCTTGGGGGGCCTACGTCTGTGACACAGGATGGGATTAATCCCTGACAGTCAGGGCCCGTGGCAGGACACAGGGAAACACCTGCACTATCAGCCCTTTGCCAAGAAGCCTTTGTTTTAGACCAGCTTGGGAATCTCACAGCTAAACCAGTGTCAGGGGCGGGGGGCGGCTCCCCCCCTCAGCCCATAGGAGCAGCCCTGTTGTCTGCCGATGCATGTGAGGGAGGTGAGCAGCTGCCCCGCCCATCGGAAGGGCACAGTGTGGGGGCGCAGGCACACTGACCTAGAGGCAGGTGGCTTTCTGCGGAAAACAATGCAAATGTCTTCCCCATTGGTATATAGAACCCACCTCAGGGACGCCTGGGTGCCTCAGTCCGTTAAGTGTCTGACCTTGACTCAGGTCCTTGATCTCGTGGTTGGTGAGTTCGAGCCCCTTTTCAGGTCCTCTGTCTCCCTCCTCGCTCTCTGCCACCACCCCCCCCCCCGTCAAAATAAACAAACAAAAAAAAAAAAAAAAAAAAAAAAACCCAGGGTGCCTGGGTGGCTTAGTCGGTTAAGCGTCCGACTTCGGCTCAGGTCATGATCTCATGGTTTGTGGGTTCGAGCCCCGTGTCGGGCTCTGTGCTGACAGCCAGCTCAGAGCCTGGAACCTGCTTCGGACTCCATGTCTCCCTCTCTCTCTGACCCTCCCCTGCTCACACTGTCTCTCTCTCTCAGAAATAAATAAAACATTAAAAGAAAAAAGTTTAAAAAAAACAAAAACAACAACCCACCTCAGCCTGGCGCTCTCATCCAAGACTCTGGGTACCCGTGTCTGGGCGAGCAGTAGAGTCTTTCCAAAGCCACTTTGCCCTCTGCCACCTCACTGTGACTTTCTTAGGAGCCGTGCTGTGCTCGTGCTAGCAGGGAGGAGCCCCGTTGTGAGGCCGCATACTCCCCAAGCACAGATCTGCTCTGAAGGGGAAAGGAAGGGGGAGGCACCGACATGAGTTGGCGGAGCTGAGGTTGGGCCGGCCTTGCTCCTGACCACCACGCTGGCTGTGTGGCGGGAGATGTGCCCAGGATTGTGGGCACGTGGCATCTGGAAAATTTGGTTCAGCATCCCTCACCACTCATGGCCCAGTGGGTTCTGCAAGGCCTCTGTTCCTGCACTGACTGAAGCGGGGGCGCTGCCTGCCCCAGCCCCACCCCTCAGCCCCCTCATGTCCTGCGTCCCCGGGCTCGTTGCCCTGTGCTCACCACCTTCTTGTCCCCTTTCAGCACGATGCTATATTCGGGATCCTTAACAAGGTGAAGCCTTCCTACAAATCCTGTGCCGACTGCATGTACCCTACCGCCAGCGGGGCTCCTGAGGCCTTCAGGGAGCGGGGCGAGAACCCCAGTGCACCCGCCATCTGTACCCAGCCCACCTTCCTGCCCCACCTCACGTCGTCCCCTGTGGCCTACGCGTCCAGCAGGGCCCGAGCTTTAGAGAGACTGGCCTCTGGCCCAAGTGAAAGTCCCCCGTTCCTACCACCAGCAGGCTCGAGGAGGTCAGACAGCGGTGGCTCTGGGGCTGAAGCTGCCCCAGAGCTACCGGCCAGCCTTTTGGAACCTTCCAGAGAAACCCAAAAAGTCCTGCCAAAGTCGCTCCTTTTGAAGAACTCTCACTGTGATAAGAACCCTCCAAGCATGGAAGTGGCGAAGGACGAATCACCACCCAAGAAAGATCTGAAGCCAGCCAAGGACCTGCGGCTTCTCTTCAGTAAAGAGGCTGAGAAACCCACCACCAACAGCTACTTGATGCAGCACCAGGAATCCATCATTCAGCTGCAGAAGGCGGGCTTGGTCCGGAAGCACACCAAAGAACTGGAGAGGCTAAAGGGCACGCCCACAGACCCGGCTTCTTCCTCCAGGGACAGCGCCGCCAGCAGGCTGGAGGCCAGCACCCCCGAGGAGAGCCCCACTCTGGCCCCCACCACTCCGCCGGCGCCCCTGCCTTCGCCTGGCCTTGCCGCCAGTGACGACAAGTCGGAGGCCGCCCCCCCTCCGTTTGAAGGAGGCCCCCTCAGGAGCCCCACCCCCTTCCTCTGCCGCCTGGATCACACCAGTCATTTCTCAAAAGACTTCCTGAAGACCATCTGCTACACCCCTACCTCCTCGTCCATGAGCTCCAACCTGACCCGGAGCTCCAGCAGCGACAGCATCCACAGCGTCCGGGGCAAGCCCGGGCTGGTGAAGCAGCGGACGCAGGAGATTGAGACACGGCTCCGGCTGGCGGGCCTCACCGTCTCGTCCCCGCTCAAACGCTCACACTCTCTGGCCAAGCTTGGAAGTCTCAACTTCTCGACGGAGGACCTGTCCAGTGAGGCAGACGCGTCCACCCTCACCGAGTCCCGGGACGCCAAGTCGAGTGAGACTTCCTTCTCATGTGAGCCGCAGGCAGCCCCGAGGAACCCAGCCGCAGCCTCTCCGCCGTCAGGGAAATGCACTTCAGAAGACTCGAGAAGCTCCTTGTGGATGAGCAGAAGCTGACCCGCCTCTTGCTGCCTTTGGATGGGTATTTTCACATGATCCCTCTGTTCGTTTCACTGGGGGCTTGGGGCAGCCCCTTGCATCTTGATTCCTCCCAGACAGCTGACACTCAGACTTTCCCACTCCTGCCGCAGAGAGGAGGGGAAGAGACCAAAATCACACAGCACAAGAAGAAGGGGGAGAAGCCAGTCGTGTGGCCTGGGAGAGCCAGAAGCCGTCGGCCAGTAGATACGAAACCCTGACCCCCAAGTCCTGGGTTTTCAGGAAGAGTCCTGTTTTACGAAGAGCATATACAGATGTGCACACACGTCATAAGTACTCCCCCCACACCGTGCGACATGATGGCGGTGGTGACGGCTCCGTCGCCATGGTGCCCATTCCTAGCTCGTTGAGGCCCTCGCGGGGAAACCCTCGGATGGCAATATATTAAGTCCTACCTCTGTTCTTGCTGTGCTTTTTATTTTTAAGATACAATAGTGACCCAAGGCTCGTTCCAGGGAGTGATGCTGTGTCAGAAAAGGTTTTTTCCAAAAGAGAATTTTTTTTGGTCCCCACCAAAAAAAAAAAAAACACCCCAAAAAGTGTTAAGACTTTTAAGTCGACCGCACCAAATACCCTGGGTAAAGTACGGCGAAGTTGCCCAGCGCTGTTGTTGAACCAGCCCTGTGGTGCGTGGAGTCACCCGTACGGTTGACCTCTTGGTCCTGGTGTGTCGCCACCGCCGAGTGATGCATGTCTGGCCGGGGTGAGGGGTGGGGGCGCAGAGTGTATGTGCCGTCCTCGTCACTGCTCGCAGCAGCATTTAAGCTGCCCCCAGTCTGGGGAGGAGGACCCACAACGCTCTGCGAGCCCCTCTGCTGCGGGACGCGGCGCGCTTGTGCTGAGGCTTTGGAAGGGCTTGAGCATCAGGTGGGGACGGCCGTCCTGAGACCCAGATCGATGGTCCTGCCAGGAGCCCCGCCCTCAGGTTCCTTAGGTCACAGGAGCGTGTTTGGGGAGGCCGAGGGGGTGTCCCTCCCCAGGGACGACTCCGCAGCAACTTCTCAGAGAAACGAGGTGGTTGAAAAGCTTCCCAGATGTTTACAGCTGCCCTTTCCCTTGGTGAGGACGCTGCTTCCTGTTTCTGTCCCGCTCTTCCTAGCGGTGAGGACAGCTTAGAGGAGGGGTCTGGAGTCCCGGCCCGGGCCCCAGGTAGCTCCTTTCAGAATCCAGTGAGCTGCGCACCTCACGCTGCCACAGGGCTTGGGGGAGGAGCTCTGCTGGTGTTCAGAGAGACAGAAAAAAGAGGCTCGGTAGGTAAGCAGAAAGGTTTCATCCCAGGAGGCAGCGAACTCTGGCATGTGGACCATGAGCTAAGAACATGTGTAAGAGGCTATAAGAAAAATAATAATATGCAACAGGGACCACGAAGCCAGCAAAGCCTAAGGTCCTCACTCTCGAGCCCTTTATAGAGAGAGAACATTTGCCCACCCTGGGTTTTGTTGGGGCTCCGAGACAAAACGGGCAAATCTGAGGGCCGTCCCTGCCTCTTGGATACCTCAGGCGAAACCCTTGCCTTCTCCCGACCCAGACCTTGCCAGCCCCCCTGCACTGCTCTCACGCAGGCCAGCCAAGCCCTGAAAGTGGGTGATGGAGTCGCTCTCTTACGTTGGTCAGACCTGGGCCCCCTAGAGCACCCCGGGAAGGATCTTCAGGAACAAGGGCATCCACGTTCTAGCTAGTGGGTAAAGTTTGTGCAAAAACGCTTTCCCCGGGAAGTTTTCCTCCCTGGCGTTTACTTATTTTTTTTTAACGTAACATTACTTTATAGGAATTTATTTTCCCACCCTTGTCCATTCAAATCACCTTAAGAGGGGATTATCTACTTCTTCCTGAAAACCCTTTTGGGTACACCCCTCCCCTACCGCCCTGGCCAAAAGAAACATATTCTCAGAAAACATACCAAGTTCCATATGTTTTGCCAAATTAAATTTCATGTGGCGGCTCAATTTCTGTGTCAAAATAATCCTTTGGATTTGATGCTGACAAGCTTAGGTTGCTCTTTTAACTGGGTCTGTGTGAGAACAGGATATTTTTAATTTGGAAAGTGTAGGAGGAGGATTAAGAACTCGAACCCCTGTTTGTCTTCAGAAGCATGGCTCGTCTGTCAGCATCTACACAGACCAGGGCCCAGGTCCCCATCATCAGAGCAGAAGGAAGCCCTCTGGATTTGAGGGTACCACTCTGGCCTGAAGGAAAGGCTCAAAGCCTTTCTCCCAGACCCAGATGAGCAAGGGCATCCCGCCGGGCTTGGGGACACCCTGGCAAAGACAGACTCCCACTGGCCCCCTTGGAAGAGAAAGTTTGTGCTGTACGACAGGCTGGGTCTTGACCAATGCCCTGTCCGTCATCTCTGCTGATGGCGAAAATCCTGAGCACAGGTGACACAAGTTAGAGGCAGGGGTTTTGCTGTGAAAGTCATTGGTTCTGGTGACCACCGTCTTGGGGGACCGCCCTTGCTGAAATAGAGAGCACGAGTTTTCTAGATCAGCTTGATAACCAACCTGAGTCTTGAACTGCTTTCCGCGCACCACCTCACTTTCTCTCTTCTGCTTTCATTCACGTGGCATGCCAGAAGTTAGACCAAGCTTCCCTAGATCTACATCTTGCATTGGCTCCGGGGTTGGGGTAGGGAGGAGTCTTCTTGTGAAGCTTTAAGTATTGGGGAAAACTGGTCTGGAGAGAGAAACCACAGTACCCTCTGATCGTGATCTGACAATGTTGATTTCAGTTTCTTGGCCATGTAGCTACTTCAAGGTCTTAGAGTGATGTCCATCACTGGGTGAACTTGAGAACAAAGTTCCTCGCTCGTGGCATGCCCTGCTTCTTTGATCTCACGTTGTGGGGACCCATGTGGAGTCTGGGCGCCCAACGGCACGCCCCTGGGTAGCAGCACCCTGTCCATTACGTGTGAAACCGCTCACCAGCTGCTCGCTGATGGCTATGCTGTGCATCCCCTTCTGTTCCACCCCATGCCTCTCGCCAGAAACCCTTCCAGCCCATTCTAGAGCCTTTTCCCTCCCGGGTAAGCCCAGAGGATGCCACCGAATTAACATCTTCAGGACAGACCTGGACTCAGGCCCCCCCGTCTCTCCACACTGGCCAGGTCCCAGAAGGTTCACAACTCCCCGTGCTCCCCTGGAGCCATTTCTCCCCAGTGAGAAGAAATGCTGTGTTTTCAAGGTCACACAAGTAACGTTGCCCAAAGTGTCTGAAGAAAGACGTGCTCTCTGTTGACAGGAGATGCCCAGTGCCAGAACATATTTCACCCAGCACTACTCTGGCTTGCCACCTAGCAGGGCCTCTCGCAGACGCAGCAAGGACAGAGAGCTCGGCAGGCAAAGGGATTTGGGACCCAGACAGCGCGGTGCTGGTTCACCCCTCTGCTCCCACCCTACAGGGTCTGCCAGTGCTGCATGCCAAACGAAGGTAGTTGATGGACCCCCACCCTCAGCTACTTGGTCTTCTTGCTGTGCGCTCTGTAACTGAATCCCTGTGTGTAGGAGTTCACGCTGCATATCTAGATCTATAACTTGAATCAGATCATCTTGTGGGCCACTTCGCTCCCACCCGCATCCATGCCGTGTCCCCCGAGCACGAGGCGGATCACTGTGACTGGTCTGGAGTGGGGCTGTGCAGCGCCCGCCCCCGCGGCAGACCTGGACGTGACCGCCTTTTGTCTGGCAGCCGGTGCCCTGGCCTCAGTCAGTCTCTTAAATAGGCGTCTTTATAACCAGCCCTCCAGCCCTCCGCTGTCCTTTGCGTTGGCCACGCCACACAAGAAGGTGGCCGCTTCCTCTCCCCTCTTCCGACACTGTAATTGTTGTTTTACAATTGAGTGCCTTAATAATAGTTTACAAATACTGTGTATTTATGGGAAACTGTTAAGCTCTCACCTGTGATTGGACCTTTGCCTTGTCGGTGGTGGTTGGCGTGAGGGCCGGCGCTTGCCCTGCCCCGCGCACTTGCTCATCTGCTGTGCGGTCGTACGTAGGGGGGGGGTGGGGGGCTGCAGGTGTCCAAGAGCATTGGGAGGGGGGGCTCCTGCAGGTGGGGCAGGTTCTGGCTCACACCGCACCCCACAGCTGCAAGGAAAGCACGGACTTCGGTTTGGTAGCCAGCTAGGGGTGGCACCCTGCCCCCCACCCATCACATAATCGTACTCTTGTTTCTTAGAGCTCTCTTACCACCGAGGCGACCCTTTCTCCCCCTCTGTCGATGTCCTGAGCTCTCTGCAGTGAAACGCGGGTACAGACACCACCCCCTGAAAAATCAGGAACTCTGCAAGATACAGTCTTTGGTTTTCAGAAGCTGCCAATGGGTTCCGGCGTGTTGCGTTACAGTATCAATTTTTTTTATTATATTGTTTTTCTTCTTGTTTATATATATATATATATATATATATATTTAAAGGCAGTATCTTTTGTACTGTGAATTTGCAGTAGAAGATGCATAATGCACTTTTTTTTTTTATTTCTGTTGGTGTGTACTGTAATAGTCTGTGTGCTTCTTGTGATGAAAATAAACTCGTTCTTTATACACGTTTGATGACCTGTGAACTTGCGCAAAAGGCAACTCCATCAGTCCTTGCCAAGACAGACATATCTGCATCGTGCCCACAGCCAGTCTTTACTGAGCACCTACTGTGTGCTAATCCCTGTACTAAAAACCCAGACACGTTAGACCGAAGAAAGAACCAAGGGAAGAAATGTTAGCTCCTCCAGGAGTTGTCTGTTTTCCCTCCTGGTTTTGTTAGTGAGGAAGAACAGGCCTGCTCGTGGGTGGTCACAGGCCTGGGCACTGGCTGGTGTCTCTTCGTGCACAAGCAGAAGGCAGCTAACTAGCATGTGCTCCGCAGAGCCGCACGTCACCAAAGAGGAGACCGTGAAGGCTAATTATTGCTCGTGGCCAAGGCAGGAATCCCAGGGGACTTCAGCTGCTGCACACAACAGAGGCTTACTTATCTCACGCCCAGGTCACAGTCCGCCGCAGGTCAGGACCTTTTGGTGGCTCTCCTCCCTTGGTGATTCATGACGCTGAGCTACTTGGCATTTTAAACCCTGTGCTATCCTGGCGTTCTTTACTTCTGGGTGTGCGGTCGGGGGAAAGTGCACAGGGACTTGCATTGATTCCTCACTGCCTTTGGACAGAGTACATCGCACGCCGGGACCACTGGGAGGTGTGAGGGGCACACTGGGAGGTGTGAGGGGCACACGTGCTTGGTGGGTGGGCAGTACTGTCTGCCACAGGACCTTGGCGTGACCACTAAATCCCAGTGCCTGGGGATCCAAGAAGGACTTTGTTGAGTTCACCGCGGCTTGCTGGGCCCATCACCTGGACTCCCAGGAGATGGATGGATAAACTGGCATGCAAGCTGATTATTTTAGAACAAGAATTATTAGCCGTCAAGCAGGTCAGATTCCTCTCCCTTGCCAATGAGCACACGGAGTCCTCTAGACAAATCTAATTTGAAGCCAAATTATGACCAGGAATTGCTTATTGAGTATGAAATCAAAGCAAAAGTCTTGGGG